TCACGGATGAGTCAAGGTTAAAACTCGTCCGTCATCTTTCTGCGTTGCGCCAGTTTGATCTTGTGCTTGATTGTTCTTGCATTGCCTTGTGTGTGATTGTCTGTGCAGCTTGTATCCATGTCGCCGCCTTATGGTAGATTTCATTGGTTGCATTTTCACCATGTTGGATGAGCTTCGCCGCTGTGGAATCTATGATGATGTTGCACAATGGCAGTCTCTGGACAACTTTTTACACTCGTTGACCATGTTCTCTACGTGCTGGCAACACTGCTTCCCTGGACTACCACCACCGTCGATTCCAGCTGATGAGTACGAATCAATCACACAACTACCGTGGTTGGGCCTCATTCTCGAAGTCTTAGTTGTGGTCCGGATTGCCCTTCAGATTCCGAATCACGCTATGTCACACTCTCAACACACTGTGGCCAACAGGTATGAAATTCATAGATGTCGGTGCACTGCCTATTTATTGATCAGTTTCTTACAACGTCTCATTTCCCAAGATCATGGCTACTTTCCGCCGTTCTTTGAAGTCCTTCACTTCTACAAGGCTTCTCTCTTGTGTGAAATCATGCACTCCACTTTTGCCGACACGCGACATCTTCGCTCATTGCGGGCACGATTTCCGGACCTCTATGACTTCATTCACGATCCAGGTCATCATCAACAACCGTGCGTCTACATCCGACTTTCCCCATGGCACACACCTTACTACGTTGGTGCGACTGATCAGGATGTTCTACGACGTGAACACTCAGTCGCAAATTTCTACAACTACTTCGAGGACGTCATGCCTTCTTCGAACCCGCGCTTCACTACTGGAAGCGATCCAATACTTACTGGCTTTTCTGTGCTATTCCGGTTGAGATCAAACTTCCCGTTTCCTCGGTTTGGGTCCAGGAAAGCAAATGGCAATACCTGCTACGCCCGCATTTGAATGCACCCTGGGTACACAGACTTCTGCGAAAGGTGGGCTTCCGGGAACACCTCGTTGATTTTCGACGTCACTCGTTGTCGTCTCCCACTTCCCTCGGCTTGCACAAACGCTTTCGACGACGACTACATCCGGATCTCCAACGACAACTACGACCCGACATGCTGGATGACATTCAGGCCCATTACTCTATTCTCTATCAGCTGGGATCCAATACAGGAGCATCGTTCCAAGCCATGCGTGACCTACTGTCGGCAGCTTTCCCTCCTACTCAGCTTTACTACTTTTTGCGGCTCTCCGTCTTTGTCAACGAACCCTTCCGCTCCAAGGCGCAGAAACTCCTCGCTCAGGTGTTACGCAAACGACAGCTACAACCACCCACCACTTTGACACAACTACTCCTACCGCCTCTACATGTCCGGAATTGGAAAGCTCTACTTGGCACATGGTTACAAAGTTGGATTGCTGCTCATCGTGATTTGTTTCCTTCCCTTTTCCTTCCAAAGATCCGAGTGGTGGAAACTCGCAGTGCCACGTTGGGCGACAAGATCTACAACTACCGCACATGGCAGCGCAGATGGACTCCTGAAACATCCTTTCCGTGTCGCTGTTTGGACATCGATGATCACCATATACACCGAGCACATGGACATGCTGTAATGGTTGATGAGTTTTCTCGCATCAATGCGGACATTGACATGGAAATCATGGCCGCATCAATGAAGGATCAGTACTTCGGTGATGTTGACTTATTACATCAACGTTTCACCACGCAACTTCGCAAACTTGCTCGTCGCTGGCATGTGCATGGTTCCAGTCTTCTTGTTGATCTGCAACCGGTTTTGACTCAGTTAATGGACACTCATCGAGCTAACCTTCAAGATCGTGCTTATTGGTCATCGACATCATTGCAGCGCACCGTGGCTTCTCTGTCATCCTGGGTTGTAATCCCTGCGGATCATTTCCCCTCCCGCGCACATGTGATTTGTCCGTCCCTGTTTGCCATACTGATGCGGAAGACCTTTTGCTCGGGAGATGTCTTTTCGCTTTGCCGTGAATCCGCAGCATCTTTTCGCTCTGAAGTGGTAACTACGGTACCTTCCCTCCTACGTCAACGATATGCATGGGGACTTCGACTTCAAGCACCGTTGCCCACAGCGCGCATCCTTCCAAAGCCAACCAAGGACTGGCAGAAAGCACGACCCACCATTTCATTCTTTCGCACGTGGGCAGCTCCCTTCCTCACGGTCTTCGGCGCCCTCATATTTGAACTTACCAAAGCTACTTTTCCCGACATTGCAGGTCAACTTTCAGTACAAGAACTTGTCCAGCAGCTGTGGGAATCGCTGTCAAAGGCAGATCCCGATGAATACATCCACCTGGTGTCACAAGACCTGTCAGGCTTCTTCACGTCCATTCCTACGGAACGATTCCACCAGGCACTACAAGTGCTTCTCCATCGGTACGATCAAGTTGTTGGCCTTCGCAGATCCTCTCAATGGTCAGTGTTCGAAGTAAAGTCTGATCATCGACGCCGTATGTTCAAAGGAAAATGGCGCCGTCAAA